GTGATTAGCAACCATAAATTGACCATTTAACAACAATTTGTTGCCTTAAGGAAGACTTAATTCAGAAGAATGGAACACACCAGCAACTTAATTGACTTAGCACCAAACCTAACCTATAAGTTGATATTGTAGGACAAGAAAAAGACAATTATGGTTGTATTTATAATAGTAAAAGTCCATTTGCAGCATACGATAACTTCTTCAAGGAGATTGTTAATTGATTACACAATATCTTCTTCAGGGAGATAGTTAATTGTTTACACAACTAATTCATTAAGAAAATAACATGGATGGGTATTAACTTTTTTCTCTTAGGCTTTGCTTAGTAGGGAGGATGAAAACAATGATGAGAAAATTCTTAATCCAATTATTATGCTATAAAATAAGGAAGTAGTTATGAATCTTAGGCCTTAGATTGAAATGAAAAGTTTTTCACTTAATGCTTCCTACTAGGCAAAGCTTCACAGAAGGGAGAAGAGGGAGCCTAGGTATGATATAGCATGGAAAAGCAGAGGTAGCACTTCGAATGGAAAAGAGATGTGGCTCGACAAAAATGACTGGATTCTCGAGGATGATGGAGAAAATCAGAAAAGAGGGCCATTTTTTAGATTTTAGAATGTCTGATGATACTGTCTGGAATCAGAAAGACTAGTTACAAGGTTGCAAATCCCAGTTTTAAATACTATTCTCCATCTACTTTATGCAGGACTCTTTAAAGTATAACTTCCATTCCTTAAGGCTAAAAAAAATGCCTGAAGGAAAAGCTTTCAGGTAAGCCAGAATATCACTTTATCCTCCCCCTAAAAAAAAAAAAAAATTCAAAAGAGAAGAAAGTAAAACAAATTCAAAAATCAAAATTCTAAGCAAGATGCACCATAGACAAATAAATTGATAAATTAAAAGTATTATGTCAAGGGTAAGAAATCATTCTTCTGGCAGCTTACTTGTAAATTTGATCTAATTGACCTTGTTCAACAGCAAGATCTGAATTCTTCTGTGCAGACAAAATAAGCACAGTTTTAAATATCCGCCCATAAAGCAATCTCCACTCCAAGGCAGTACGTTCCACAGGACCATTGCAGAACATGATAAGCACGATATTTCCAAAATTCTTCCTCCAACGAATCAAATTCCCAATCTCAGAACTAACCGTCCCTGTTTCCTCCACCGCTAGATGAACAGATGGCAATTTCTGAGGGTTAAAGTCTTTTCGATCCCCATGACCAATAGTTGCCCGTGGTCGGTCCAGTTCCAATGACATCAACCTTGGCTGCTGATAACCTACAGCAAGCAAGTCTTGAAGCCAAGCAGCAGTAAACTTGAGGTCTTGCTCGTTCCAAAACCCCTCTTCTGCCATAACATAACTCAATTCCAATATCTTCTCAAACAATCTATGCTTATTTGATCTCCATGATACCAAGAATTTGATCAAACGACCTACATTCACATGAAGATCCTTCTCCTCTGAAAATGGGTATGCCTCAATTCTGTCATACCGATGAACTGTAGGTGGATACACAGCAACATAACCACCAATCTCCCACAAAAGCCTCTGACCCCAATAACCCCTCAATACATCCGAAGCCATCGTACTAACAGAAACAGGGAGCATCAATGCCCAAAATGCAGATGAATGGTATATCGTATTAAACGAATTCAATGGCACCATCATACCTTGTGGCAACGCCACTTTTGGTGCATGGTCATCAAACTTAATATCAAAGGCTTCCAAACCCGATTTCCTGGTAAAATAGAACACTGAATCAACATCTGGTAACCCATTTGAAATCCCTTGCTGTATAAACTGTTTCCCACCAAAAACCTCAGTGTAAAATTCTTCATGTCCAATTTCACCCACATTTTCCAAGGGTAATCCTCTAGGCCAAACTGACCGTTGCCCGAAATGAATATAGGGGTTAACTACAATCCTATTAGGATTATCATGACTATACTGCAATATAGCCTCTTGCCTAGCTCCTTCCCCTACTAGTTCTACATCAAAATGTTTCCGTAAATCATTATCGATTACTTCGCCCCGGTCATCAGCATCAAAGATCTTTTTAGCACCATGTTGAATCGCAAATAAATAACCAACACTTTTTCTAACATAAGAATCATAAGGCAAATGATCCACAACACGAAAACCCAAATTAGCTTGCATATCTAAAGACAAAAATATCGCACCTTTTAAGCTCCAATCTCTGGGAGTCCTTGAGTTCCCAATTGCCAAAACTTGCCACCCGTTAATCTTTACCATCTTTTTCAACGCATCAGACGGGTAACTCGAAACAGAGACAACGATCCATTGCTCTGATCTGAAATTAGCATACGGTGACGTTTTGTCAGCAATGGGTTTGATTGAATTCCAGTTGATTTGAGGGAGAGAGATAGAATCCATGGCGAGCTGGGTCTGCGATTGGAGGCAAATGAGGGAAGCCGTGTCGGTGGAGGTGTAGAGGAAGAAAACGGCGGCTATGGTGGCAATTAGAACAAACATTGTGATGATTCTGTAGAAATTGTCGGATACCCATGTGGAGAAATCGAGGTTTTTGGGTTCAGTGAACCTGTTTGGTTGAAGTGTAGGAAGGGTTCTGATCTGGGGACGTTTTAGAGATTTCGGAACTGCACGTTCTTGGACCAACATTTGATCTTTGGCCTAGATCCTTCGAAGCTAAATTCTTGCTAGATCTTCACTTTTGCTCCTCACCCACAGCTTGACTCATAGCTTGACTCTATATTTTCCTTTTTTTTTTCTTAAAAACGGAGCCAATTGTTTGCTTCGAATTTTTTTTTTTCTGTTTTCTGTTCGGTAAAGGACTAAAAGAAACAGAAAGACAGTCACTCTTTCATGTGGTTGCCGACAGGTACAAGCGAAAGGGTGGTTTGCTAGACTTCAATGTAAATGTAACGCAACTGCTTGTCGTTTGGACTTTGGTGGGTCGTTGCCCTGTCTTCTTCTGGAAATATTTTGAAGTTTATTTTCCTTTTGATTCTCATGCATTTATTATAATAATAATAATAATAATAATAATAATAATAATAATTTGTAGTATTTTGTTTTTCCTTTTATGTTTGAATGATCGAGCATTTGAGCTAAGAGTTAATTTAACATCGGAAAGGTAAGCCCGCCTGAGCGAACCAAGTTGCCAACCCTTGTGGTGATGACGGCAGAGGCCGATAATTTAGAAGCTGCTAATCTGTTCTGTGGGCGCCACCGATTTGCTGTCAAAACATGACTGCCGACTGGTTTCGAGTTTCATAAAAGCTCTTTCTTAACTGCGATGGCAACGTCTGAAGCAACTTGCATTTTGCTTTGTGTTGTGCCCGCTAGTTATAGACTATTAGTTCTGTTCGGCTCTTGGCATTTAGCACAAGGATTTATAACTTTAAATATAAAAATAATATAAAAATTATATACAAATGATCTGATTTAAAATTTAAATAAAAATTATATATATTTAATAAAAATATAAAATATATTTCATAGATATGAAATTTTTTATATTATATATATTTATCATAAAACAAAATAATACAATGCATAAATTATTAAATTTATTTGACATTTAACAGTAGAGTTGATATAAACTTGAGAATTACGTACTTCTTAACACTGATAGGAGACATTGTAAGATGTTGGGATTCTACTAAATGCCGACAAGTTTTCAGCTAGTAGTACTAAAGTTTGATAACATTCCTATATCTTGCAAACGTAGCAAGTATTTCAAAATTTATCTACTCCATTTGTACCACTAGTCTTATTAAATATTACCTTTGGTAATTATCCCACTCAAAATATCACTCTTCAATTTTTTTTTTAATTTTATACTCTTATCAAAACCTTTTAAAAATAGCAATGTGTGTGATATATTAATAAAATATTATATTTTTAATTTTAATAATCAAAATTTAATTTTTGATATCCATAATTATAAAAAAAATAAAACTCACTAAATAAACGCCTTAATACACATTTTTATTTTTATTTTGGTACATAAGATGAGAGAAAAGAGAAAAAAATCTTAATTCGAAATTAAAATTTTTATATTTTTATTAAAATTTTTTAATCATTAAATCAAAAAAATTGAGAATAATATATATTTTTAATTTGATGGGTACAGAACATATTACATACATATGATGATTTTGTCACCATTTTTTTAAAATTTAGCATTGAATTAACAAAGAAATGAGATTTGATATGAATGAGATCAATGCTAATTTTAATTTGAAAATTATGAAAACTATTTATGGATAGTGATGATTCAAATTTTAATAATCTAAAAATTATTTTAATCTCAAATTGATTTAATTACAAAATTCAACCATTTGACAAATAACTCCGATGTTAAACCCAAAACATCCAAACCTAGGAAGATCATTTTTTTCTTTCCCTCAAAATGATCGATCCAAAATGATTCCCGGACAGATCGTACCCTACATGTTCAATTGCCACCTCTAGTGGGATTAAGGCTGCCCTTTGCTAGGTTAATTGGGCTGATGGAGGTTAACTCATCTGGGCCCATCATAATATCTATTAAGCGTAGTTTCCAACCTAATAAAAGTTGACTGAAACCAAGCTTGGGCTCACTTGCAGGACTGCAAAACATCTCCTATGGTCCGTTTAAATAATTGTAAGTTGTAACCAGATTTTATCATTTTGTTCTTTTTCAATTTATATAACTCTTGCTTAAGAAGGCTCATGACGTGCAGTGAGTAATTTTTTTTTTCTTTTGAGAAAATGACGAGCTGTGAGTTAAATTACAGAGACGACCCAAGGTCACTCGAAGCAATGTGCCAGGTGTGGCATGCCTTCTCCGAACTTATTAAGTGCCACATGTCAGATTAATTTTTACTCCCTCATAACAGAAACAACTCATTTGTTGAAGAGTAAATCAATTATTTTGCATTCGCAACAAAGCGATCAGTTTTTGACTGTTGAGAGAAATTAAAGAAAAAAAAAAATCAAACGTTTAAACAAGCCCCGCCAACTTTCAAACATGGCATCCTTTCCATCTCCTCTCGAACGAACTGTAGCTTCAGCTCTTCTCCTTCTCTCCACTCCACCTTCAAAGTACATTCAACATAAATTACTAAAAAAAGCTCAATCGCTTTTCAAATTTTAGATTCAATGATAACTTTGCTGTTCTTATGTTCTTCTTTTGATTTTGGTAAGGTTGATCAGTTGTTGTGACGGCAAGAGGACAGGAAAACCAAGCATGAGCGAAGAGAGGTTGAGCTTGATGTTGTCGACTGAATCCAAATCCTGCACTTCCTCTCTCACCAATGATCAGTTGTCATCTCGAAAGCAAAAGCTAAGAATCATCGCTGCTGTGGCTCGCTGCCAAGAAATCAAGCTCAAGGTTTGCCTTGCCTTACTCTGTATCTCCTCCTTTTCCTTTATTTTTTTAGCTTCTGTTTGTTTTACTTCAATTTCTTAAGTGTTTATCTTCTTCAACCAAACTGTTCTCAGTGATTTCTTCCGTTGCTTTCAACACTTGCAACTGATTTTTCTTTTTTCTAAGTCCTAGTAAACACTTTGTTCGGAATTGTGTTTGGCTGATATTTGATACATCTAATAACACAATGATTAATTAGCTTGATTTTAGTGGGAAGATCAATCATTTTAAGATAATAATTCAAAATTCAACGAAGTGAGATTGCCGACTTCTCTGAATTTGTTTTATTCAAAACTAGCTCGAGCTGATTTAGTTTCTTCATTGTTTACTTCAACGTTGCTCGTATTTGTACTAGCTAGCTTCACAGCAATTTATTATTTTGAATTTTCTCTCTGAACATCGAAGCAAGCCTTGTTGATTGTTCCTTTTATGTTATTTTGCTTGCATTAATATTTAATTTAATTTTGATTATGTGCCTTTGATTTAAGTTTTCTCTCATATTGGATTTTGAATTTCAAAGTTCGATTATTCAAATATTTCATATAGGAATCAAAATCGAAATATCTCCACGATCAGTTCAAGTTTCTTCAATATTTTTCAACTTTCATTTTCAATTTTGGAATCTAAATTCATTGAAACTTTCGCAGGTGGTGAAGAAGAGGCGCTCGAAGATCTATCGGAGCTCCAATAACCGGAAAATCTCATCCATCAAGTCATTAATTTCATCCAATATAGCCACGGTTGAGAAGTCGTGCTTGTCGAGCAGCTCCAGCGGCATCTCATGCGCGCAAAGCAAACGTAAAACAACCAAAGCTGAGAAAATGAAGGCAGCCAAGAAAAGCGAGAGGCGCAGCGGCAGCTCGACTCACATGCGGTGCCGAGCCGAAGCCATTTTGAAATTGCTCTCTGGCGGTTGCTTCTCTGAGGTTAACATTCGCCGAGTGCTAGGTGACAGCCCTGACACTAGCAAAGCCCTTCGAATGTACTCTCTCTCTCTCTCTCTCTCTATTGCTACGTGTCACTTTAATGTCTTATCAACGTGGCTTTTTGTAAGTTCATTCAGTGCACTTAAAATCATTGTGGGTGACGGTTGTGTACATCTCAGCCGTTGGGTGTAGAAATTTCTTCAAGATCCAACGGTTTGAAAATGAATCAAGTCACACGGTAGATTAGCGTTTATTTCATCGAAATCTGGCTGGTCAAGTGATCAACTAGACAAAACCATTGCCGTTGACCAAGAACACTTGATAAAACATTGACTAACACTGGTGGCAGATAATGCTAATATAAAATGATTGTTGCAGGTTGTTAAAGCAGGAAGAAGTGAAGAGATCAGGAACAGGAGGGCCAAAAGACCCTTATATTTACACGGTAATTAACCATAATGCTAGTTTTAACTATTTTTTTCATTTGATTTAAATTAAGAAGCACATTCTATTTTTCCTAGTTTCTCTTATTATATAATAATTCGGCTGACGCTATTTACATCTATGTGTTTGATTTATGCAACACAAATGTTAGTTATTATATGAATATGTAATTACTTAAAATTCTATGTAAATTTATTTATATACTGGAAATTCCTAAAATTTAAATTTTGATTATTAAAATTAAAAATTTAGTATTCTAACTAGTGTGCATAAAAATAGAGTCACCTTGTATAATCTTGAAATTAGGTGGAATAATCTTTTATTAATTATTATTAGCAAAAATCATATACTAATAATTTGTTTTAGGAAATACTGTTTTATGCATATAGTGTAGGAAAATTGGTTTCTAATACGATACATGTTTGTTGCAGATAGCATGAAAGTGAGCTTATACTACTAGGACATGGCGATTAAAAAGGCCAGGTAAGGTGTAGATTGGTAGCCGACTGGGAAATTTTGGTCTAACGCATAGGTAGAAACTGAAAAACTATAAAAGGGAGAAAAACAGGAAAGAAGGACCAATTGATATATTAATATCACTTAATATGGTAGTAGAATATATACTAGAACTAGCTAATCCTATATCTTAATTGGTTCTCAATATCCTATTTGCAAGATGTAAATGGATTGACATATATATGCGATAAAAGGTTATGCTGTTCCTACATTTCTTGTAAAAAGTAAGACATGGCAAATATATAGTGTTTATGGTACCAAAAATTGTCCATCTAGCAACAGTCTATACTTTTTTTTTTCTGGGGAATTTGTCTGCGTTATCAGCCTCAACCAAAATCTTTCCTAAAGAAAAAAAAAAAAGAAGAGAAAATTCGGGGCAAGAATTAGCTGTTTCTAGATCCAAAGATTGGTCAAAATGCTCCCAAATGTGGAAGGGTTAAGTCATTAAACATATTTTATTAGAATTGCACTGATATATCTTCATGTTTTTCTTCACATCTTTTTCAAATAAATTATTTATCTTATTTTATTTTGCATGTTTTCTTTTGATACATCGGTAGTCCTTGCAGGCAAGCTATTTGATCGCAATTAATCTTTTAAAGTTTGTGGTCATTTGTTAGCGTGAGTAGCCAACATTAAGATTTGGATTTCTTTTACAGTAATAGTTTATAAACAGACAATAACAAAATACGAGACCCAAAAGGCAAGAAATGAATGTGATAATGCTTCAAGCAGCCTTTTGAGTGACCCTAAGTCTATTTTATTTGTAATTAACGTTATATATATATATATTTTTTAAAAAATTTCTTTAAGATTTAGCCCAAATCATGTAATTACTTGAAATGATATTCAATAAGTATAAAATTTAAATCTTAACATTTATAAATAATTTCTTTATCCCTAAAACTTTCTTTATAAAAAAAATTTCTTTACTCATATAATCAATATCATTAATAGCATTTTAATATTACACATAACTTGTCAAAGTTAATATCATACCATTCAACGTAAACTCTTTTAATATGTAAGGATCTTTTTTTCTTTTAGTTTGCTTGCCATCAAGGGAGACATAAATGACATAACTTTATTATTTTCATTATGTCATATTTTCTATTATAATACAACTACTAATCTCTAAACTGGATTATAATGCAACTAATAATTTAGATATTGTTAATTAGTTTTTCATTATGTCATTTTTTTCATTTAAAAAATACTAATAATCTCTAAATTAGATATAATTACAAAAGTGAGTTCTGAATTATCTTATTTAATGTCTTTTGTTCAGACTATTCAAATTTACTAGTATGTTTCTTTTCTACTCTTTGACATTTTCCTCACAAAAACTAACAAATGATGAAAACAGTACATCAAATATATTTTTTTTCTACTCTGCTTTTTTTAACAAATGTCTTATTAAATGTGAGCAGAGTGGCGGCCGGACTACAACAATATAAATGTACAGCCAAAAAGCAAATTTTTGGCCAATGACAAGCAAAAATAGAAATCAAGTCAATTTGCCAAATAGTTGGACTGGGTGTTGATAACATTCAACCTGCCATTTCATTTTTGTAGAAACTCGTTTAACATAGTCAAGGACTCAAATAGTTAGAAGCAAAATTCTTAGGTTTGTTGGCTCAAAAAAATTTCGAGGCTGACCTATTTTAGTCTTTAGGGACAAAGAATGCGTGGTGCTGTGGAGTACGGCATCGGCAAAGTCACGCACGCGGCGAATGTTGAACGCGTAAACCCAAAGCTGACACAGTCTTCTTTGGATCCCTATAGCGCCAGCTGGGAAAAAGATCATGGTGAAATATTAATATTTAAAAAAATTAATTTATTTAATTAAATATTATTCGTTTATATTTTTTTGAATTAATGATCTTTAAAAATTTGATTAACCTTTATTTGAGTTGAATTAATATGCATTTATATGAAATATTTATATTAATAGAAAAATAATTGATGATATAATAAAATATATATTATTTGTTAATGATGTTTATAAACACTTGTTTAAATTAATTAACTTTTTTATTATTAAAATATTTTTAATGTGTTATTTTTATCAAATTTAAGCAAAATATACTAATTATAGTTTTTTATAATCTTAACAAAAAAAATACTATATATTGATCTACTCCATTATTTATTTATTTTACTTGATATGATAAGTTAAGATGTTAATTTAAAAAATATTTTTTCATTTAATATATATTATTTCCATCAAATTAAAAAACAATACATTAATTATAATTCTTACCCCTCCGCGATTCTGGGCAACTGTCCCTAATTTTTTGTTAAAATTCTTTGACCACGCAATTGGGCATATTAAAAGTAAGTTTCATTTTAATTAATAATTAGATAGATTAAGAAGTGGGGTTGGAATAATTTGAAGGGGCCGTCCATTTGAACAAGTTTGTTTGGTGGGTGATGGTAATAATAAGATATTAAAAAGCTTATTTGGTGAGAAAGAACATGTTTCCACACGTGATAAGTAATGTTATAAAATAAAATTTGTAACTTATGAGCGAAAATCAATAACATAAAAAGAGAAAAAAAATTCATTAATCATGAATTGTTCATGCTCTGTTTGATTTTTTAAATTTATTTTTTACTAAAAATAAGAAAAAAAACACAAATATCAACCAAATGGAGGGTTGCTAGTTGGCTTTTTTTTTTTTTTTTTTTTTCTTTCATTTTGTTAAGCACTTAATTCCTTGAAAATAGGTAAAAGCATCTTTCATAAATTATGAAACACATAAATACAAAATTCAATAAATGGAAGCAATAAATTAAATTTATGAACACATAAATAAAAAGTCAATAAATTAAATTAAAGCAATAGAAGGAAACAAATTAGGGGTCTTATAACAAGAAAATTAATATTGTGGCCCAAAAAAATAGAAAAATAGTAGCAAAAAAAAACAAAGTCAAAAGGCATGAACGAAAGAGTTCTATAAAAGCAATATACTCCCTCAACTCTTCTACCAAACTAGAAAGTCCTTTCCAATTTGTGGACTTTGCAGAAATCCAACACCATAACTTCTCTCTTGCTTTCTCTTCTTCTTGTTTGATTCTGCATCTCAGTTTCTGATAACAGAGAAAGAGAGCTTCAACTCATTAGAAACAGAAGAGAAGGGGCAGGAATTAAGATTTGAATGGGGAAGTACATGGAGTTGTTGGATGCAGGGGTGAGAATAGTAGCCAGGTTTCATTCCCATTGTCCACAAACTGCACGCTTGTACTACCATCCTCCTTGTAACGCTGAAGGCCACCACCATGATCCCAGGCCTGGCTGCGGCTCCACCAGTTCTATTGTTGAGGACTCTCACCAAACCCCGATGGCCAGTTGTGGTGCCAAGGCAACCAAGGGGCCGCTTGACTGTACTGACCTCATTTTTTATTCTGTTATGTGAAGAAAATGATACCCTAAAAATTTTTTGATTGAATTTAGAATTGGAAATGCTGTTACTTCATATACTCAATTAAAAAATTTCTGCTTATTAATTAATTAATTTTTTATCTCTGTTTGTGTTATTAATCTACACATGTCCATAGATTTTGCCCTTTGGTTGAAGCGGGAAGTTCATGTCAGGATATCCAGTTCCAATCTTCCCTTCAATGCACATGCTTATATGTCTGATCATGCAATTGTGGCAGAAACTAATTTTTAAATTAATTTTTTAATTTTGAGAGAATAAGATTGAGAGAGAAGGATTAATTTAGTTGATTCATAAAATTTATGGTTGATGTAAGTTTAAGATTTAAATCAGTACTCGTAACTTATTTTTTCTATCTTTAAATTGTTACCTCTTTTGCACAAGAAAATAATAAAGACCAGATAGAGAAACCTGAATTTGATTTGGGTATTTCATTTTTCCCTTTGCATTTTGTTTCTCAATTAACTTTTCAAAACTCTCGAAGTCTTATTTCCCTCTTTATTCTAATCCCAATTTTTTCACTGCCAAGACAAATAGTGGTCTTGTACCTTGGAGCTTAGTGGATGAGAGTTTCATGGACTTTTGACTATCGTTTGAGGGAAAGGTCAACTTTCAGGTAAAAGGAGTAAACCACCCGCTTATGCATGGGTTTGGTAGCAAATTCCAATTTTTAGACTAAAATCATGACAAAATGCAAATGTAACAAAGAGAAATTAAGTCACTTAAGCAAACCTAATTCAATGCATTGGAATCCAGAGGTTTAGTTGTTTGATATACAAATGACTGCAAACTCTGTTTCTGTACCTAGAGAATTATTCTTCACACACTGGGAAGATACAACAAATGATCAAATATAAATGGGAGGGATTTTCTGTTTTTCTCCATTCTAGGAAAACTAACAGGAAGAAGGACGCTTTTGCCAGTAACACTAGTCCATTTCCTCATCTCTCCTCTTAGAACCTACAGCTTCATATGACCAAAGCCTCCTTTGAATGAACCATAAAGAGGTTGTGATCTTCTAAAACTGAAGATATCATCAATTTGGATGGTCTTTGGCTCAACTGGTTCACTTTTCTCCGAGTTGTATTCAGCCAAATGTTGTTTCCCATACACTCGCACACTAAGTGTTTTCTTTCGAGTTGCACCAACTTTAATATTTTCATTGAAAAATTCTATCAATTCTTGTTGCGTAAGCTGCCTTAATGCTGCAACCTGTTAGAATACAGATAATAAAGATGAACACTATTAAGTGAAATAAACTATTTAGATCATATTAAAATGTTCATCATAGATGAATAATTACACTAAAATGTAGATGAGTTTCATTTCACAGAGTAAAATGTAGTAGAATTTCCTTTTCCTCATTAGAAATATCAGATTGATCTACATACCTCAGCTTCTCTCCTATCAAACTTGAGTGTCCCATCAATAATCTCTCGCCAGTAGAATCTAGATTCTTCACTTAAATTCTTGTGCTTCTCAAGCTTCATATCAATCAATGCATTTACATTGCTCTGTGTAACAGGTTGGCAATTAGTATTAGCGGACAAACTATCAACAGATGTAGACATTCCTGCAAACCTTACAGTTATATAATCAAATCTTGAAAAGAAAAAAAAAAAAAAAAAACTCAAAAGTCATGCAAGTTTGCATTGATTAGTTTGAAGTCCTTCATCTATTAAATGCATAAAAAAATTCAACCAAGATATCATTAGGCAAAATATTTCCCAAATGTTATGCAGCTGAATTGTCAACAAGCTTTTAAAAAAAAATTTGCCATAATAGATGATCTACCACCATGAACACTACTTTATACACAAAATAGCAGGGGTTTGTTATCAGAGTTGTAGATAAAACAAAGAAAGGAAAATAAGATGCATAATATGAACAGATAATCAACACATGGATTAACCAAAAATATCTTGGCACAAGACATGTCCATTTGTCCTCTGGCAGTAAGTTCTCTTTTTCGATTTGAAAATGTATGACTATAAATATTACACTTCAATCATACATACCTTCTGACGAATTGTTTCACATCAACATATTTAGGCAATCAACTATATTGGCATTCTATAAAGGCTATGACACAGCAGAAAACATGAAGACTTGCTCTTGCCTAATTATTAGATAAACAATGGCATAGGGCATATTTGGGGAGTTTCCTACTTAGGTTCATGGTGGGCTATAATTTGAATTACAATTTGACATTCAATCAGTGAATAAATCAATGAGATTGGATCTCCAAAGAGGGCCGAAGCATGTTTGGTGAATGATAGCAGGAATTTTCTGACCGCAGTGGAATTAGAAGAAAATAAGTTTACAGGTAATGTTCTTGTGTTAGGAAGAGTAAACTTAAGCACCATGCAGTAAAGACAAAGAAAGAAGAAAGAATAAAGGAGATTACTGATTACTCAAATATTAATTATATTTGATTAGCAATAAAAAAATTATAACTAGGAAAATTATTACTATCTTACTGAGACTAGGATATTAAACTAATTAGAATTACGATAAGACTCAATTAATAGTTACTACTAAACACTACTTTAAAACCCTAATATCTCAACTAAACCCAAAAATAAGACCAACCAAAAAGAAAAAAAGGAAGAATTACTTCCAGCAGAGGAACTCTCCATCATACCTTAAATTCATCATTTGTCATCTCATACAGTTTACTCTCAAACATTTTGAGGAATGCCTCAACTCTCAAATCAATATGTCCAGGACCCTGTTAAGAGAGACCATGTTCTTAAGTTGAAGCAACAATAAAACAAGTATGCACTAAAGAAGGAACCATGATATTCACCTTTACTGTAGACTGGATAATGAACTGCACCCCACGGATTCCGCAATCATTCCTAATGAGAGATAATTAAAAACCTTAAAATTGGGCAGACGATCCAGAATAAAATTAAGGGACAAAAATTGTCTTTAATACCTATGCATGAGGGCAGTAATGTATCCCAGTTGCTCAACAGATCTAAGCTGATGGAAGGCAGGTTGCTTTGCAATAAGAGCGAAAAGCTGAAGTTTCACATTCAGTATAAAATCATCCCGATGAACCTAACCATTCAAACATGATTCACATCAGAAGTAAATAAAGCCTAGATAATCAAATTGTAGCACAATCTCATCCATGACAAGCAAGAAAGACAAACACACACTAAAACAGAAACAAAAGAAAAAGGTTGTCCCTTTTTTACAGGGGCAGAGAAGGAAGGTGATGTGTACAATCCAATCATGTCACAAGAAGTGAGAGGTAATAACTACATATAGTAATAAATGTTAACCTTCCACCTTTCAAGTGCAGCAACCACTTTAAGCTGTAGACATCCTTTCATTTATACACCCACACACATACACACAACCAATTCATTTTTTCAGAGATCCATACATGTAACCAGAACATTCCACAGATATTTAGGTAACCAGAACCTTTCAGGTTCTAGAAAGTTTTAAAATTAAAAAAAAAAGAAGCAAATAAACAAGACAGCCAGTTTTTCTGGAAGTGAAACTAGAATCACCTTCATAATCATGTATGTTTTTCTAAGCTTTCAAAGAATCAAATCAATTGCAAAATTTTCTTTGTGAGTCAAATTTAAATCGATACATTCAGTAACATGCTTTACTTTAAGTTCACCCGCCTTTGGGAAAGAGTTCAGAAAATGAAATATAACCTCTAAGGAGAGAGTAAAACATACAAGTTCCAGATTTTCTTCTGAACATTTCCAATATTGGGCCAGACAGACAGTGGTAGTTTGATTTAATGTGCACTGCCCAAAATAATTACGCCATAGTGTCTAATGAATGTAAAGACCAAGCTATTGTCCCCAACATATGTTTCTTCAGCCACTGTATCCCAGAATCAGCAGTAGAGGCCAAAAGTCTTTCCCACGATAATAGCCTTAAAAGCATATTATCCTCCACACAATCATGCAATGCTTGGAGGAATATCAATGTTATTTCCATAAAATATGAACTAATATTTGTTTATTAAACACAAATAAATTATTTTCAGAGCCTAAGGCAGTATTGGCATGCATAAAAAACAATTGTTCATGAAGTTCGGCACCATCATAGGAGCCAACAGAGAAACATACAAGATTTTCGATTTTCATATCCAGCATTTGTCTCTGGAAAAATTTGAAGACATAACAGGTTGAGTTGAATAAACAAGTGATATAACATTTTAACTATTGGTCAAGAAAAAAACACCTTCATAAACATGAAAAACCTAAACATCGATGACATGTTATTTCAGGACAAGGTAATACTGTCCAAACTAAAGCTCAAATTATTTGTGGCAAAAAAAAAAAAATCTCTAATTATTTCAAAGCAAATATTTTCTTAAATGAAAATGGTATCCATAAGTTCCTTTTGGGTATGTGGCATCCATTAAAAACTTAACATCATTGTCATCATGGATGATAAAATGATTCCTGAAAGAAAATGCGTTCCAGATAGGGTCACCAAAAATTTTATGTTCTCCAGACAAACACGATTACCTGAATATAGTGGACTAAGGCACAATTCTCATCACTGGGATTAAGGCCCTCCTTAGAGTAGAAGTAGTTCATGCCTCTTTCAAGTTTGACCACTCTATTTGTTAGATGCTGGGATGGAAACAGTGGTTGGCATATAGGATTTGGACCCTTAAAGAAAACATCTTCAACATGCTGAGTCATTGATTCTGCTTCGTCACGTTCAATGTTTCCTATGGGAGAAACAAATAAAATAAAACAAAAGAATAGCAATATTTAGAACCAAGCAAGCATGTAATTGAGATGGAAAGAGAAGATATGACAAACCTGCAATGTAACACTCTAGGAAGGCCCGCGAGAGCATCATGGGAGCAAATTTTGCAAGGTCTTCCAAGTTAAGATGAGGCAAAACTTCAAGTTGTTCCATCCAAGGCCATGTATGGTCCTCTAGTATTAATGAGCTATAGTACATAGCCTGTTGATAGGGTTGCTGAAACTTGAAATTTTCATATTCCTTCATTACCATTTCCTGATAAAAACAAAGAGAATGCAAAGGCAGAACAGAAGGTTATTAACAAATGTATCAATTAACAGAGAAAAAAAAAGCATATCTAAAACACATGCTCCATTGATGAACCAATAAATTCAACCCAAATAAAAAGGTTTAACTAAAAATATTTAGCAGCCTTATCCAACAGCATGCATTAGCAAGTTGACCATAAAGTACATGTCTGGAGCCTATTTTTACACATTTTTACTTTGACAGAGAGAAGACAGCCTGCCAAACCAACATTTTATCACAGATTACACAAAATCCATAAGGTTTTTTTTGTCATTTTTTCCAAAACTGAAGGAAATTGATTAAATATGGATGACCACTTCTCAACACGTGTCATGCCATGGATCATATCTTCAGCTGCTCTTGATTTTGGAATGTGAGATAAACTAATAGTTAAAATATGATCTATTTTACAGCACAGGTCATAGGTGCTAAAGCAAGGTGAAAGGTACAAAACAACCTCAGGGCACCCCCACCTTCCCTTCAAAGGCAAGTTTATAAAAGCACTGCATTTGGCGCATAGGCAGGTGCCTCATTTGAGGCTAGCTTTATGTAACTAGTAACTGTGAAATTTACATAAATAACCATAATTAAACGGCCCTTATATATTTACCATGGATCAAAGATCTTCTGCCCTCCTAACACAAATAAAATTTATTGATAGTGGCTGGAGAAGATTAGAAAGCCCCTTGCCGTGCTACTCACACAACCTTCTTTATTGCATTTTCAGTGATGGCATAAGAATCCCACATCTCATGAATATATCAAGCCTAAGTGGTAGAAGGAGCTAAGTGGAGACTTTTCCTGTTAGCTATTGCTTTCAAGATGGAACCAATGTCCAATGTTACAAAAATTAGGCATCATTTAAGCACTATTGTCTTTTGTTTGAAATTATTGCACGATATAAGTCTACTGCAATAAACAGAAATGTACTTTGAAACTCTAAAGGTGTTCTAGATCTAGGAGTATCAATGATGCCTTTAACTTTTAATTATCTTTGAACATGACTATCTTTGTGGTACACATAGCCAAACTGTGAAGAAACATTTTTCTTAAGATTATCAAATTTAGAGATGACACTGTGATAGATGGAACAATGTATGAAAAGATTGCAAAATGGTCACAGGACCTCTACACTGGATCTAAACATCAGGAAAATTGTGAGCTCAACGTGATAAAGGCCCAACATTATGAAGTCTCAAAAACCAACCCAACAAATGCTTAACTAATTCCACAAGCTAGGAACAACAAATGCATTCCCTTCGACTGAGATTAAATTTGATGTTAGTGACAATTTTAAGTAGGAGAAATAATAGGTAGCAATATCTCAAATACAACATGTAGTTAAACCTTCAGGCATAACAAACCTTAATCATTACCTTTTTATTCTTATTTAAATTAAAAACACATGATTAAGATACACAGGAAGCAGAAAAGAACGAAAAAGACAAAGGCATACTGACAATAAATGGCAGTTCTTATTTCTGAAGCATAAATAGCAATTTATATGGTCCCTTAGTCATTACCTTGATTACCAAAAATCTGTCAGGTTTCACTTCAAAATTTGCAATTTTATTGACTACAGTTTCCAGCAAGATCCTCAATTTGTGATTATAACCAAGCAATGTCACCTAAAAGTGAAATCAAATTAAAAGATACCATTTCATTGAGAAATAAAAGAAATGATGAATGCCATACAACCACTGGAAATGTGTGCACACATACATAAAGAGAGAAAGAAAAAGAAAGTGATAACCACATAAGAAAAATTTTCTAGGTTCTTTTCAAATAAGGTAAGTAATTAAAGCATCCATATCATGCCAATTCCAACTTCAATCTAACTTGAACAGATGGCAAACTACATATTGGTATAAGAGTAAGGCAGAATTTAGGGTGTAGCAATGTAAGTTAACTGTTTACCATTCTCAAATAATTATACATGTCACACATTTCAGTTAACTTCCCAAGAGCCATAGTATGTAAGTGTCTCACCAAACAAATAGATAATAGAGTACAGCAGCATTGGGGGTTCTTCTTGAATAGGTAATCCAATGATCCTGGTTACCTTCTAGCATTCAGAAAATCTTTTGTTTTTTTGCCAAAATAAGAAAAATTAAAATTGTTTGAATCCTAGAAGGTAACTGGGATCATTTTGTTCAAGACAAAAATTGGAAGCTTCATGAGCATCAACATGATCCTCTAATTTACAACCAATATTATTATAAACAGACCCACCCAACCAATTCAATGTGGATAAGTCAGGAAGCAGGCCAGGCACTGGTCAAAATGACCCCTGCAACCCTCTTAGGACAGAAAATTGGCCAGACTCAGGTGACATGAAGCTTTAACCATGAAACACGCAACGCCACCTCCAAATTCTTGTTATACAAATATAAATTCCATCTCAGTTTATCTTTTCCATAACGAAGATAATGTTTTTCAACAAGTACTATTTTTAAGACAACATGTATATGTTTCATAAAAATTCATTACCTTAGGTCAAAGAAAAAACATTATCAAGTGTAATCATATTAATGCCACAAGAAAAAAAGGAAAAAGTACCTGAAAACCACAATCTGTAAGGCTTATGCCATAATGAAGACCAGCAACCTGAGCATAGTAAGCTGAAGCATGCAAGATAAAATAAGGCATTAGTAAAGAAGACAATCCTACTCAAATGATAAGAACAATCTACTGTCACTACAGAAGACTTTGCATATAGAAAACTCAACAAATAGAAAAAGAGATGAGGAGGGAGGGGAGTGTAGAATTGTACAGGCATAGTCACATTAAACCATCAAGACAAAAGCAGTGACATTTATCATACCATATTCATTTAAGTAATCCATCAATAACCGTGCAAAAAGATCTGCAAGAATCTCAGCTTCAGGAGAGTTGATAGCATGGGGACAACTGAAGTCTAGCTTAACATATGCCTTAGGAGTAGAGAACATTGTATCAGGCTTGAACCATAATTTTGAATAGGATGACTTTCTCAATAAAACTGGAAATTTGACCTGCTCCAAAGTTTAATCATATGAGAAGTCAGAATAACTTTAAAAAGAAAGCAGTCATAATAAAATCAAATCGAAAGACTCATCAAACCTTCTCTTGTGCATTCTTAATACACAAGTCTGTTGGTATAAAGACATTAGGTGCAGGTAGATGCAGCTTTTCATTAGGAGCTGACGACATCCATCCCTGCAGTCAAAGAAGGACCCATCAAGCACCTTTTTTAAGTAGAATCAAATGACTAGTTCACCAATAGAAAAATGAAATTATTATACAGATATAGATCTAATAAACATATCATCAGCAAGATCTGACTACAGACCTGAATCATTGAGGGGCTAACTTTCTCAACAGAATATGCAGTACCATACCATGGCTCAACCTTGTCAGTCAGTCCCTCAAATTTCTTTGAATCCCAGAAGATTCTGTTAAAAAGAGGGCTTATCAGAAATAAATTATGTAATGGCACAACTACAACCATCTCTTAAACTAATAAGATGTAAAACCATTTCTATAATTAAAAAAAAAAAAAAAGTTTCACACACTACTAAGAAGTTTTTGAATAGCTTCCAGAAACTGTTTTTAATGAGATAATAAGGTTAAAAGCAACTTTGTTTTGGGGAGCTCCAATGACTGAAGGCAATTGCATTTGATAACTTGGCAGCCTGTTTGTTTTTTAGTAACATGTACAACATAATTCCCTCAAACACAGAAAAGGAATTTTGAATGCCAATATTTGAGCAAAAGCCTCAAACTATAGAGTATAAATATTTGTGAAAATTTATAAGCAATTATAAAACGAGGGCCAAACAAGCCAATAGACGCATATTTGCATCAATATGAAGGTAAAAAGAGCTGAAATGTCTCTAATGAGACAAGTGAAGGCTTCATGTCTTCCAGTTTAAATTCAAATACATACCTGACAGTCTCAGGAGAAAGACCATTTAGTATCATTTTTATGGTGTCTGGATTGAAATTCGAAGGCAATGATGACCCCACTAGCCAATCTTTGGGAGGATATATCTAAAAATCACTTTCCAAAGAATCAGAATTAAACTAGCAAAGCTCCAACATAAGATCATCAATATTAAATGATATATTGAACTAAGTGAATAAACAATTTATAGATGAGGGTGATTGGATATAAAATGACAATCTAAAGCAAGTCCAAAAAGTCCAAGCATAAATACTAGCTGGTTAAATGATCAGCAATTCTCCTTAAGAAAGCTATAAAGTCTAAAAGGAACTTAAGGAACTTGATAAGGAACTAAACAAGCTCGTAAGGAAGCTACCAAATGAGATGGAAGAAGATGCTTCTGAAACAATCCTTCAGCATCAGGTTTCACAGACGCACCAAATGAAACACATAGTATCCACAGATAAGGAATCTAAGGAGCACCCATAGAATATTTTGAATCAGCAACCTTTCCATTTGGTCCTTAATTGCTTCTAGATCAATCACAAATCACATTACACCTTCTAAGGGAAGACCAATCTCCTCTAGCATATGGCAAAGCTGTGCCAAATCAGCATATACATATACTAACCTTGGACACCCAGAATATTTTGCAAATTGACACAACAATAAAAACACTCTACTTATTCAAAAAATAGCCAACTCCTTTTAGCCAGAAGAGCAAAGCATATAAGACCTCCTAGAGCATGGCAAAACCTTCCTATAAATATTATGCACCTTCAGGATCAGAGAGATGGCCAACATGGTGAAACCCAAGTCTAAGAAATCTCTCAGTAGTCAGACGGCTCTTTTTCATAGAAAACCCTCTCAAAAGTCCATAAAAATTGGGGCATTCATGAACAGTTGTTTAGTTTTGCTAGGTAGGAATGATGTGAAGAAGGAAAGATGGATTAAAATTTTTCATTGGATTAAAAAATTTTAAATCTAACAGTTAAATCCCATAACTAGCTTGGAATTTTACAGCATACATTGGACTAAAAACATTTTCATTCCATCTCCCCACCAAGCAAAGCCTGAAAGGAATATGTCCAGTTAATTGCCATGACCCAAGAAACATCTAAACAACTCTGCTTCATCCAAGGTTTTTCTATTTAGACAGAAGAGCTAGACTAAGTCGAATCCAGCATCCTTGTCTCTATGCCAAGTATTTATGCCACCAGCTGTGGTTTCATTACCATTGTTATCCTTCAAAAGAAGAAATATGCATTTGGAGAAGAACAAAAAAGTGCGGAGACTATATGATAGAAATTGCAAAAATGCAATCCAAAATCCAAAGAATCCAGGTGAGAAAAAACTAAAACGGCATATGGCCATCATGTTTTGGTGAATTGAAGCCAATTAAATAGGCCATGCAAAATTTGCACAAACAAATAGAACTTTCAAAACACAAATGATAGCAAATAGTACCTTTTTAGTTCTAAAAAGCTCCAAATAGTGTTGAATGGTAAAACCAAAGGGCAAATTTTTCTGCCAATTTATTAAATCTTTCATTCACCTGAAAATGATGGCTACACGCCATTTTGAATTTTTCTAAGCTGAATTGCCCAAATTTTGTGGGCTACATTTTCATCAGCCTATCTATCTTGTATTTGCATTTTCCCTTTCTTTCCCAAATCCATATTCTGCTTTTGAAGGATAATAATGGTTTTAATTCATCAATACATCCAATCAGGGAGTGCAATGTGTTCACTTCTATGAAATTTTAACAAAATTTCAGTATTTTGTAGTGTTCATTTCCTTTGTGTTCCTCGTACTTCCTCTACGTTCCACACTTAACACCTATTCTCGCATATATCTCAACTATGGATTTGATACACATCCGATAGAAGCAAGACCTTGGGGAATTTGATATTTAATGTGTATATTGTGGGTTAGATACCATCCTTGTGAATAGGTTTGGGATTTAGTAGGTGACTACCTGAAGTTTCCAATATTGCCACAATAGACTCTTCAATTCCATTTTCAAATGGCACAAAATAGAAAGCTGTGACGTTATTTGATGATGGGTATTCCCAATTTCTTTACCATCAAATGATAAAGCCATTCAAAGAATTTAAAGTAACTGAGAAGCATTAGTCACAGCCAATTGCCTTTGTTACCTCTTTTACACATCAAATATACACGAAACATGTAAGTTTCATTTCAGGTCATCAAGCATACAAAATAATCCTTTCTTTCCATGTATTTTAATTAAAACAGCAAAATCACTAGTAGCAGTCAGCTAGTTGTATCTCTTGTGGCAAAGTTCTAATTTAAAAAGGTTTTTTTCATAAATCTATGGTAATACAAATGTAGACTGAAATAAAAATGAAAACATCAAAACACTACCAGTAAAAAACTTTAACAAAAAGTTCAAGCAATAAAATAGGGGAGAAAAAGAGAAGGGATGTAATTAAATTACCTGCATGTTTAATGCAATATTTACAACATAGTCAATAGGAGGGATTTTGTCTTGATAGTGAAATCCTGTCTCGCAAACAGCTGAGATCTTCATTCACAAATTAAAATGTCTTAGAATCAGTTACGTAAACAAGAACATACTAACATTGATACACAAAATATAATGACAAATTGAGCAAAATCTCAACATGAATTGTGAAATCACCTTGACCAATGTGCCTATAGCTATGAGAGCTGATCAAGTTGTTTTACTCTTGTTTGTATGCTTTAAATAAAGCAAAAAACTCTCCACAAAAAGAGATTAAAAAATGATAAACAGGAAAACAGTGCAGTGAACTTAACTTCTATTACCCAAAACATAGCCACATTAATCATCAGGTAATCAACTAACTTTAGGCTGCTAAAGAATCTGCAATACAGTAAACTTCTCAAAAAAAGCAACAATCTGATCCTGCATTTGTTATTTTATAAATTTTGGTTATTTTCATGAATAAGGGCAAAATAGTAGTATCTTAATTTCAATGCTCTAGGATTAAGTTCTGTGGAGTTAAGATTATTCAAGTTAGGCTTATTTACCTGGAGAACAAGTTGGTTATTACTACCTTACTAGTAGTTTTTTTTTTTTATCAGAAGTAGTTAAGCTAGTTTAGGTAGTCTAGAAACCATTAGAAATACCAATTATTGAGATTTCACTATGCTTTTGATTGATGAAATAGTGGTTCCTGCTAAATGCATAAATCCTCTCTCTCTCTCTCTCCACTCTTATTCATGGTCTAAATCACATTTCTCCAATATTTTCATATCACTTCCCTCCCTCCCTCTCCCCCTCTCCCTAACATCCCTCTCACTCTCACCCCCTCTCTCCCTTTCTTGCTTAACCATATTTTTAAATCAATTCCCATCAGCCAAAACCCACTCTCTCTCACTACAAACTTCTTAGGATACCGTTCATAGCATAAAACCTCTGCCTCTAAACTATAATTTCCTTTCTTCTTTGTAGCCTTAATCACATTCCTTGCTCGTATGCATCAACCCTTTTTCTTACCCCATACTTTAAAATAATTCCCATAAGCCAAAACCTCAACTGTAAAATAAATCCTAACCTTTTTGCTGCCAAACAACTATGAATCTAAGAGAGCAAACATTCTCCCTACGGAGGTTACATACAAGTCAAAATTCACAAGTCCAAACGTTTACTTTCACGGGATCTAATGAACTGCAGTATGTTATCAACCAACTAGCACTCTTTGTGGGTAAGCTAAAATAGATATATTATCACATATGCAAGCAACAAGAAAGAAATATTCAAATGATGATAAACAGTCACAATGAATGGTCAATAAATCCTAAAAGAACCATAACTTATTCAAGTATCATATATGCTTACCTCATCAAATATCCATTTGCAAATGCCAGACTGCTGCAACAGCTGAATGTATTTAAATAGCAACCCAACAATATCTTGCATGTGATCTGAAATTTAATCAACAGAAAACAATATCAGTCAAGTTTAAAGACATCATTGTTTTCCAGGCAAAGTTTACAACCCTTAGTAACCTTAACCTAAATATAATAATTCAATGATTAAAAACATATCAGACACCCTATGATGAGGGGGAGGAAGTGAAGGAAAATAAAAACTAACCATGGCCAGCATCAGTGAGATCAATTACAACATTGAAGAAAGAAAACTCCAAAGACCATTCACCTTCACCAGCAGACAATCCAGTAGCCCATCCTGCAAAGTTCCATATATATACATGCACACAATTCATAAATATACATACACAATAAACATATATAATGTCCTTGCACATATATAAAAAAATATGAATAGGCATACATACAAACTTTATGTATGCCTTCCTCATAAATGGAGAAAAGAGAGGAAAAAAAGAGGGGCGGAGCGAGATGCCTATTGTCCATGTGTGCACATGCAAACTTGAGCTAATGGTTCTATGCTGGCATCATACATTTTCATGTAACTGTGTCATTGGTTTCCTTCCTGTCTCCTTCCTACTCAATTTTTAAAATTTTGAGTTTATTCTAAACTACCACCCATGTCCTTCCTTGTCCACTTTTATTAGTTTCTTTGCACCATTTTACCTTTTTACTTAACTTTTTTACTCTTCTGAGCTGCAAAAACCAAATACCAAGCAATGACAAACAATAAAAAATCCAAGTGCAATATAAATATCTAATGGTCTTCACACAATAACCAACATACCTAAAGGCTACTTAAATTTTAAGCAAATTATTGGAGAATTCAAGTCAAATACCATGATCCTAATTTGACACAATTCAGGGCAGCAAGATCACTTACCAAATCAGAATATACCAAAACTATCATTTGACAAGATTTTGAAAAGATACATGCAGTATGAATTCATGACAGGATTCAAAATGCACCAATTTATTTTGCAAAACTTCTACTGATATTTCCATTTACCATGAAAAGTTAAAAGTACTGTGAATCCTAGTGCAATAAATGCAATGAAAGAAGAGAAACACCTCTAAAAATATAAAGATTAAAGGAACCATAAAAGAGAAGTGTAGGATATGGAATAAAGCGAATAACTTCAAGTGAAGAAACACTTTTTTTAGGATAAAATAAAAGATAAACAAAATATGAAAAAATTTGTCTTAATGATGTAAGATCAAAAGCCAATCTATACTAATAACAAAGCCCATGATTGAGTTTGGTGTAATGAGTCCAGCGACACTAACTCGGTGAATTGACAAAAAAAAGCCAAATCATAAAATGAACATGTAGTAATAAGACCATATTAGTTATTTACTTCACCTAGAAAGTAAGGTCAGAGTCCATAACTTAAACCCATTTCCATCCCTACTTTTTTCTCTATTAGTTTTTTTACATGCATTTATTCCAACTTCTCTCTTTCACACATTAAGATAACTACAATTTCATTTACATTTTATATTTTTTAATATTTATCTATTTCACCCACATAGTGGACATGCATAGGACCGGTATCTTTTGTATTTGGTATGCAAAAAGCCAAATATGTCTACATTTAACTAGGATTTTAAGAGGACTCGTCCTAAGTTTTGAGACATTTCAATTTTTGATTATGTAAAGCATATAAACAATATGCACAACCTACCTAATGTTTTCAAGACGTAAAATAAAGATCCTTCTCCTTCATGACCAATGAGATGACCAAGATACCTGCATGGCCCTTCTTTGTAATGAAGAATGCTTGGAGTTATTGGCCATACAATCCTTAATTTGTGGCCTTGTTTTATTGGAACAGCTTTGACAAGAATCTGAGAATTGAAAAAAAAAAAAACAAAACAAAAAGAAAAGAAAGAAACAAAAAAAATGTCTCTTTGATTGCGGAATGAATCATGCTTGCTTTGCTCAAACTTGCGAGAAAGATAACTCATTGACTATGCAAAGGCACCGTAATAGCACTATATACCTGAAGATGTTCTGATGTGCAAGGCTGACCAGGAAACTGGAAACAGCTTCTATCAGAGTTTCGAATTTCCTGGAACTTGTCCTCCACCATACTCTGAATTTTATCAAGGCTCCCTGAAATTACGAAACAAAGAAATTGTAACTCCTGATGATTCAAGGCAATCATAAGAACAACTCCCTTTCTTCTTACCAAAGCCATAGCCATTAAGTTACTAGAAAATTTAGTTGCTAACCTTTTGAATAAACAACCAGATGCATGAGGTTGGCTGAATATTTGTCTTCATAGAACTTAAGGAGTTCTTGCCTTGTATCTAATCCTTTTGCTTTTGGTCTGACATCCAAAGTATCCAAGTTCCCTGTACATGAACAAGTCAATGATAAGAATAAGAATATAGATACTCAGAATACTGATAGTTACTAGTGCCATCCCTTTTTTATAAGTCAAAACACACAAAAGAAGATGCCAAAAAGGAAGAATGGCAAACTAAGATAGAGATAAAAAAAAAATCTGACACATCCAACAGAAGGACAAAAAATAAGAAAACCAAAGAAATTATCAGAGAGAAAGAGAGACATTCATCAGTATCTCAAAATTAAAATCCATTTCAGTCTCCCATCCTTGCATATTGAAGGAATATAAAAAAATAAAAGAGTAGTCAAAAAAGGAAGTAGAGTAATTAAGCACTGAAATCTAATCCATCCATCATCCAAGAAATCCAGAAAAGAGTAATAAAATCTTAGCATCTGTCTAGAAGGATAACAAGTATCTCAGAAGCAAAGACATTCAGACAAAAGTATTGGAAATAACCAAAACTACAGAAATGCTAAATTATTCATCATCAGGTTAATATATGCTTTTTTATTGTGGACCTTCTCATTCAGTTTTGCAATAATTAATCTCCAATATCACTAGGTTAATGGACTAACTATGAAGCAGAATGCATACTTCATAGCCTGCTTGGGCAAAGAATTCAACTACAGAGAAGAGGGAAGACAGAAGGGGATGCAGGGAAGGAAGAAGTGAAGATCAAGTATGTAAAGGTTTTAACCAGTGCTGAATTTATGATATGGATGACTTTCCAAGCTTAGATGTTTCTGAAGCTGCATAGGAGGAAAAGTTAAAACGAAAAAGCAGTTAGGAATACATCAAGAAAATTCACCATTGAAGAATATTAATACATGATAAGTAACATGAATCAAATGAAATAAAAATAAAAAAGGAATAAGTGCAAACTAATACCACATAAAAGTTTTGAATAGATTGTTAGCACTATCAAATACCCATAATCTAGCAAAGAATTCTACTACTTAAAAAAAGCAAGAAAACCAACAATTATCATTTATTTTCAAGAAAAGGGGAAGTTTCTAAAAGTGTGCTTTTTTTTTCCAACAATTATCAATTCTTTACCAGTTTTAATGGTATAAATCGACCACTTGAAAAATGACTAGATTTTATTGAGAGTGATAAACAATCGCTCAAATACAAATTGTGACCCAGTGTATTCAACAATCACAACTATCTTTCAGTTATTAAGGAAAACATCTCTAAACTACCCTTTAGCAATGAAACCAAGACAACCATGCAAACCATACAGGACCTGAGGAAACAATGAATTGATGAACAGTCCTTAATACCAGATGCATTCAATGATCCTCATGATCAATGTGAAAGGATGAAAGAAAACTTGCCCTCATAAAATCAGTTCACCACTTTGAGGAACCAATCAAACTATAGTTAGCAACTTGCTTCTCTGTGAAGACCAGCCAACCACCAAATTAGTACTAAATGAGAATCTAATCATGGCAAGCACACATGGAATACTGAATTTTCAACAGTGGTTTGCGGAAATCATTGCAAGATATTCCTATGACAAACGATAGTTTTTGGGCTTTGGTTTTAATCACTAAAGCAAAAGTGATAAGAATGAACACTCATGACAAGCATCATTGAGATTGGAATCACAAAATAATAAAGTTGCATTAGGAGATGGGGGACTGATTCCAGGATCCATTTCTTGCAGAAAAAAAGTAATAACAAAAAAGGAAAAACACTAGCACTTCAAATTAGTAAGAGCAGAGATTTTGCTATCTTTCAGTAGAAAAGTGATTCAACAATAAGTGAATAATACCTGGATCATTCTCCACGCATCAGATAGTAAGTTTTTCTGGTTCTCTAAAGAGAGGGAGAGAGAGAACCTTGATTAATTATGGTTTAAAATAGAGGAAATCCCTGTATTAAAGTAAACCAAGAAGGCAAGAACCAAAGCGCTAACCAGAATCAACAGCTTTAATTTCTCTCATGGTAGCATCAGCTGACATCAATGGATTGATGAAGAATTGTGCAAAACTGAAGAGCAAGTCACAGAAGAACATGCAAACTCACATACATTAAAAGAACATTGATGAAAATAACAGCTAAAGAAAAATTGCACAAACAGCACCCACCGGTCCAGAGCGTCTTCAAAGCAATCAGTGTTAACATCAAAATAATAGTTTGTCTGCTCAGAACCTGTGAAGGCGTTTGTGCTGCCTCCATGCTGTAAATCAGGAAGATTAACCGAATGTAAATTTTACATCAAAAGAATATTAACTGAAAACAAGTAATGCAAATGACTTTCTTCACCATAAGCCTCTTGCTTTATGAGCATATCTCTTTTAAAATTATTATTCAAACTTAGCTAACAATTAATTAGTTATTAAATTAGATATACATCTTATATGAATCCTATCGAATTTTACTTTCAATTGATTATAAGACTGCTAATATATTCTGTGTATTTCTCTACTTCAAATATTATTAAATTAGTCTGGCCAAAAAGATATTAAGAATTTAATACTCACTCATTTATTTATGCTTTAAACATTATATTGAAAATTTTATAGTTTAAAAGGTTTGTATCAAAAAACAACTATTCATGTGAATATTGAGGATATGGTTTTATATTGGGTATTATACATGAATAACTGATCCATACAGCTGAACTCACGTAGTGAGAAAAGGCACAGTTGTTGTAGTGGCAATGTGACTATGCATTTAGTAAGCATGACAAGAGATACTAAGAGCCCCAATCCCTCTCAAGCATGGTTTTTTTTCTTTACCATTTCCACATGCTTATTTAAAGTAACCATTAAAACTACATGCAAATATGGATAGATGACCATAATGCATTTAAGAAGATCAGTACCTCTGTTATGTACTTGGAGTAACTATCTTCCAAGGGATACTTTTCACTAGCATAAAACAGCATGTGCTCTGAAAGCAAGGACAAAATGTTAAACAGAAAGAATCTACGTAAAATCAAAACTATCCCATGAGCATATAATTATTATCCAATTGCTAGACCAAAGTTATTTCGACAACAAAATCAATGCACAGTAAACAACAACAATACCAATAGTAATCACAAAATCAATAAGCTTATTTCTGATAATTTGGGGATCCAAGCTTTTCAAGCAAGGGATACATGTACCTACCTTTAATAAGTGCAGGATGCAAATCAATAAGCTTATTTAATAACAGTATTAGCAATAGAATTACTATACTGAAGTCACACATTGTCAAAATTCAACGAATAGAAAACAAAAAAAAATAAAATCCAGGCAGTTCACAAATGCATTACGAAGATAAAATAAAAGGATGAAATAGAAAGAAGAAATACCAAGAAAATGAGCAAGCCCTAAGAGGTCAACGGGGTCACAAAAGGAACCAACACCCACATTCATAGAAGCAGCACACTGTAACATAAAAAAAATTAGAATAAAAAGGGTTAAGAATTTTTTAGAACGAAAGAATTGGGAGATTAATTTTGCCTTATCGGTGTCGGGATCGCTGATGAGGAGAACTTGAAGGGAATTACGAAGTACGATCCTTCGATACTGCCTTTTGTCCGTTCTGGGCTGTATAATCTCACCATCTTCTCTCCCGACCGCCATTTCTCAGTTCACTGATAGAGAAAACAGCAGTCCGATCTGCCTTTTTAGGTTTGGGTTTTGGGTCTTTTGGATTTTGGTTATGGACAGAGGAAGAGAAATTGACTTTGTTTGTTTCTACGGGCCGGCAGACTTGTAGAGAGAGAAACAGAACGATTCTTGATTTGTTTCTATTTCTTTACAGAGAATAAGGAAAATAAAACCTTTTACTTGTTCTTTTTCTTGGGCCGAAGGAGCGTGGCTTTTACCTTTTTTTTTGTTTTTTTGGATTCTCAATTTCTTTTTCCCTCCTTCAGTTATTTTATCCTGGGTCCTTAAGTTTGACAGCCGAGAACTGGGCCCCAGTGTTTGGCCCAAAATTTAAGATGAACTCTTCAATATGGAACAATAATTTGATGTTAGAATATCTATATAACATTATATAAAATTAATCCTCGAGGGATTGTGAAGATACTACCTATTCTTTGTTTTTTTCTTTTATAATTCATTTTTTGGTTGTTCTATCGTTAACTTTGGTGGAGGGTAAAGTAATTTTTAGATAGTTGTTGTTTTTCTAATTTTTGTTACTAATAGGTATTTGTGTTGTTTACTTTCGAAGCTTTTTATTTCATTGTGTCTTTTGTGTTTGTAGTAGTCTTCTTTTGGCGTGTAAGATAACCTTCTTTTTTCTGAGTTTTTGCTTTCCTTTTTCTTTGGTTTTGGTTCTTTTTTTAATTCTTTTTAGGTACGATTTTTTTCTCTCTTATTTTGTCATTAAATGTGGGTTTTTGTTTTTTTTTTTTTAGTTTTATTGTCACTATTTTCGTATTATACATTGTAAATTTTTTTTAATGGAGTTTCATTGTTCAATGGGTTTTTTTAGTTTTGTGGTTTGAAGTTTTACATGTTGGTGTGAATGTGTTTTTTTGCAAGATTTTGCTTTTCATGTTATTTTCGATAAAAATGAATTTTTGTTTTCTCTTCTTGACAGGTGTTTGTGTTGTCTATTTTTTAAACTTTTTTTGGTTGTGTGTCTTTGTGTTTGTAATAGACCTTTTTTGCCATGTAAGGTATCCTTCTTTGTTCTGTAAGTTTTTGCTTTTTTTGTTTTTGGTTTTTGGTTTTTTTTGGAGATGTTTATAGGTATGGTTTTTTCTCTTTTATTCTATCATTGAGTGTGGGTTTCTATTTTCTTTTGGGTTTTATTGTTATTGTTTTCATTTTATACATTGTAATTTTATTAATAGAGTTTCATTATTGAATGAGTTTTGAAATTTTATGGTTAGGGGTTTTGCATATTGTTATGGATGTGTTTTTTTGCAAGATTTTGTTTTTGCATGTTGTCATCTTGGATGAAAATGAGTTTTTGTTGTTTTTATTAGTTTTGTTTTATAGTTTGGACCTTTTTTTATGAATTTAAACAGCTAAAAAACTTACTGTTAAGTTTTTATTTTATTCAGAGTTATTTAGAGTTGTAACATGAAGTATACAAGTTTGATATGTTTTTGTTATATGATATTGTTAAGTATTGTGGCTGTGCTTGAAATGTTTGGGTTATTGTCTTGTTTGTAATATGATTTATATGTATGGTTAATGGAGAATAGTTGTTTTTAATAAAAGAATCAAGTTTAAGATGGTTTAGAAAAGGTGTTGTATTCATAAAATTAGTGGATAAATGTAGATTAGTTATTAGGTTTACTGAGTTCATTATTGTTAATTAAAATAATTATAAGTAACAGGTTTGTATTTCATGGATTTACAAGATTTACACCTGTCAATTACAGAACTATAAGAATTTCAAATTAGAAAAGAGAATTGAAAGCTTTTGTCTAAGTTCTAATTTTTCTTCTATGGATTTACAGGGCATTCCACTACTTAAGGACAATGTTTCAAATTAATGTTAAGATGTTAAGCTTTTTTTTTTCTTTGTTAATTCCTCTCAATGAAATATAACATGTTGCATTAAGTTACTTATAGATGTATATATATAATTTGGGTATAATTTGGGTTGAACACGGTTGTTTTCTAAAAAAATTACAACTATAAAGCAAATATTTAAGACTATAATAGATGCGTTTATAAAAAGAGGTAGCCGGTTTCTTGACGAAATTATGAAATTTGTATGGTATATGTCTTGTAACATTCTCTAATGAGAGAATGAAGTTTGTTTTAGAAATTTGTTGAAAGTTTTGAATAATGTTTTCATTGTTACTGGAAATATTAGTATTTTGTATTGGTTGTTTTATGATATTTGTGAGATGAAAAGTGTATTCTTTTTTTATAGAGTATTATTTAGATAATTTGGTAACAAACTGCCAACCCATTGTCATATAAGATTATCTAATAGATAATCTGCCAAGAAAGTGGTAGCCCTTTATGAGCTAACTCAATCAAAACATAGAGAATTAATAATTTCTTGCAATAGTACCTTGATTACATGATAATGTTGAAAGTAGGAATGATTATATTAGCTTCAAGTAAAAAAGATTTTTTAGATTGTTAGTCATTTTTTATTAAAAAATTGTTATCTATTTTTTTTTTTACCTTTGTCACTCTTATATGAGATAGTTCATCATTTCTTTTCTTTAAAATAGTTTCTTCATCCTGGCATTTTAACGTAAAAGCCTTAATCTTTTATAAATACAAAAACAGAAAAATGAAAAGGAAACACACAATTTTAAGATTATGGATTGTGGGAAAACACTTATTTATTGTTGGTTATAAACTTGTAATCTATATATTTATATTTGTATCCCTAGAATTAAGTATTTATATCCCTAGAATTAAAGACAAAAAATTAAGATAGACAATCCCTTAATTATAGGATCAGTTTTAGGAAGATTTAATTTTTTAATTTACCCACTAATTAGTTGTATATAAACCTAAGGTGCTTGTATAATTCTTTATGAGTAGTTTTTTAATATACATTTAGTTTTACTCTTAAATTTTCACATAGTTTTATTTCTTAGTTTTTCTATATGGTATTAGAACTTTAGGCTCTTTTTAGGAAGAAAATTTATTTAGCTTTCATTGTTGAATTCTATTTCAGGTTTTCATAGCTAAATCTTTCAATTTTATTTTTTATTTTTTTAGTTTTTTTGCCTAAAATCGTCTCTAGTTAAACCTTTATTATCAAGACTTGTTTCAGTGCTGAGAAAAATAACTATACCAAAAATAGTAGAATCTGTCACTACTACTCGATTTAAGGAAGTGATAACTGGTAAAACTACCTAGTATTACAAAAGTCTCAGGAACAAAGAAAGTTTGATAAAGAAAAGATTGAGAAACTAAGAAGTCTATTAAAACTCTTGAAAAACTTACCGGGGTATGTTCTTTGGGTAAAGTCTCTAGTTTTGGTTTTTATGGATTAAATGTCTTAGTTAAACTTTCTTGAGTCATTGACTCAAGAGCCGCAGACCATATGACACATTCCTTATAGAAGTTTAGTACATATACCATGTGTCTTAGTAATAAAAAAATTATTATTACAAATGGTTCACTTACTACAGTGGCATGATTAAGAGAAGTTCAAATTAATCTTTCGTTTGTTCTTAAAAATATTTTTCATATTCTTGGATTATCTACTAATTTGATACCTATACAAAAATTTACTAGAGACATGAACTGCAAAGTAATTTTTTATCCCTCTTATTGTGAATTTCAAGATTGGAGCTCGGGAAAGAGGATTAGACTTACTAAAAAGAAGGATGAACTATACTATCTTGAGAAATCAAACAATATAAGTAATATCAAGAATAGTTTATTTTTGTCATTTCTTTTTGAAAAATCTTGCAAATAAAGATAAAATCTAGCTTTATCATTTTCGTTTTAGACATCATTCTTTTGAAACTTTGAAAAATATGTATATCGAAAATGTGTCGAAAACTAAGAGCAAAACTGAAGTATATTGAAAAACTGCTTATAAAGAATTATACAAGCACCTTAGGTTTATATACAACTAACTGTAAGTAAACTAAGAATTAAATCTTCTTAAAACTGATTCTATAATTGAGATATTGTCTATCCTAATTTTTTATCTTTAATTATAAGGATACAAATACTTAATTTTAGAGATATAAATATAAATATATAGATTACAAGATTACAAATAGTTATAAATAAGTATTTTTCCACACTCTCCCTTAAATTGGTGAATAGGTGTTTTTCATTTCCAGCTTGAAAATAATTTTTTAAAATATTGCATTACTAAGACTTTTAGTCAACACATCTATAAGTTGACCATTTGTTGATCCATATGTGTACAATCAACTCACTATCTAGTTTTTCCTTTATAAAATATAGGTCTACTTCAATGTGTTTTATTTTATCATGTTGCACAGGATTGTATGCAATGCTTAATGTAGACTTGTTATCACAATAAAGTCTAATTGGTCTATCCCACTTGATCTTCAAGTCTTTTAGGATAATCTTTAATCATAGTAGTTCACAAATTCCTTGAGCCATTACTCTGAACTTTATTTTAGCACTTGATCTTGTCACCGCATTTTATTTTTTACTCTTTTAAGTCATAAGATTATCACCTATAAAAGTGTAGTAGCTTGAGATAAATCTTCTATCAATTACTAAACTTGTATACTTAGTATTTATATATTTCTCTAGAAATAGCTTTGAATTTTTTAAAATAAGATACCTTTCTTAAGATTGGCATTCAAATAGTATAATACATGGTAGATAGCCTATAGGTGCACTTTTTTATGATTATGTATAAATTGACTTGTTACACTTACAGTATGTGCTATATCATATTTAGTATGTAAGAGATAAATGAGTCTTTTAACTAATCTCTGGTACATCTTTCTCTCTATAATAACATCTTTATTAGCTTTTTTAAGTTTATGATTAAGATTTATAGAGGTATTTACAAGTTTATATATGAGCTTCCCATTTTCTTCAAAAAGATCCATCACATATTTTTGTTGTAAAATAAAAATACTATGCTGTGAGTGAGCTACTCCAATTCCTAAGAAGTATTTCAATCTTCCTACTCTTTTATCTTAAATTCTCTAGCCAAACACTATTTTAGAGATTTTTTTTTCTTTTTCATTATCTTCGATTGTAATTATATCATTAACATACACTAATAGAACTGTGACTCTTTCTAAATCATAGTGCTTAATAAATAATGTGATCTTTTTGACATTGTTTATATCTTGCTAGCATCACTTTAGCAAATCTCCTAAACCAAGCCCTAAGAGACTGTTTAAAGCCATATAAAACCTTTTTTAGCTTTGCATACTTTG